AATAATAGTAAGTGTATTTTTTTCATTTTTAAAACCTTTAACTTGCTCTCCGGCCTCAAACAACGGTCTGTCCTTGTATACAATTTACAATATTTTTAGAAATCGGTGGCAATCGAGTTCAGATTTTTTTTTAGTGGGATACGAGTTGGAAGCAACCAGCTCAAACTTTGAAAACATATGTGTTCCGGGTATAAACATGTCTATGAATTGAGTGGAAAGGGGGGGGGCTTGATTAAGTTTTTTTATTTTTCAAATACACGACTCTCTCCTCATACTTTTGAAGTGGGCTTTGTATTTCCAAAGGTTGTTTTTTCGTTACTTTTATTATTAACATATAGATATTTCATAACTCAAATGGAACATTTCAAAATGAGGGACCCCCCCCCCAAAAAAAAAAACTCGACTCATATATCGTAAATAGTTTTTTAAAACTTAACATCTCAGGTTACCTGCATGTAGTCCGTCAGCTTTGTATCCCATTCCATGCTTCTTTTTATACAAGATTAAACAAAAATTTAAACTGCATTTTTTGACGGATGGTCTACTCAAGCATAGATTAACCACAAATTTAGTTGCAGAATTGTAGCTCTCAAAAAAAAAATATATTGACAGACCAGAGAGCTACAGTGCCACCCATAGTAAAAACCGAATATTTATTGCGCACAAAAAAGTGCGCTGTTTGACTTATTTCTCCATGTTTTTAAAACTGTCATCTCAAAATATTACAAACCGTGTTTTTCTAACATCTTCTTTAACTATTTCCACAACAAAACATTCCTTATAATTGTTTTAATAGCCCTCCTAACCCTGAAATTGAGATTATCGAAAATTTAGCCTGTTTATTATGCCATTTTGGTTTGAAAGATAATTCGGTCCAACACGCTTCGTACAAGTATTAACCACGGGAGTACTTGATAGATGAGTAAGGTTTTTTTTTTATTTATTTTTTTTTTCGAATTGAGGTAAGAATTTTTAAGCCCATTTATCTTTTAAAATATTTTTCAGTTACACCAGTCCACTTGCGATCTTTTAATAGGAAAGAAATAAAATATAGTGTATTAGTTTTTTAGGTCCGTTTCTTTCCGGCTCAACCCTATTCCGAGTGTCCGAATATCGAGCGTTAACAAAATTTTAATTAATGTTATGTACCGATCGTATTATGATTTAAAATAAATATTTTAAACATACATAAACTCATCCTAGTAAAATTTAAAAGAGACTTCCCAAAATTCCACATTTTTCGTAATTTTTATCTTAAAAATATCCACGGTAACATTATTAAAAAGAATTGGTGGTTTAATAAAACTAAAGCTGCAATTATGTAGCCCCTCCCCCCCCTCCCGAGGGACCCTCTCCAAAAAAAATATCAGATAAAAAAAATCGGAGAGGGCTAAATAATTGCAGCAAAAATAAAACATGAACAGTTATTCAATAAATTGAGATTTAACATTCCCACTGAATTAAAGAAAAATAACCGTCTCCCTCCCCCCCCCCCCCCCCCCCCCCACACACACACAAAATAAAAATGCTCAATCAAATTTAACTGATGAAACCAACACTTGAAAATTACTAAAAAAAAAGGCACTCAATAAATTTAAAGGGTTATAATAATGTATATGTATTCAAAACCTTTCAAAATTAATCGGATGTTTTAGTAACTGTTTTTACTCATTCTCTCTCTCTCTCTCTCTCTGAAATTGTATTTGTCTATAGATATAATGTTTTCAAATGTACAACTACACACATGTAAATATTCCACAATGTAAATGGAACTCACAAGGGTACATGTTAGTAAGGAAAAGGTCGATATTTTAAAAAATCGCATATTTCGTAGCACGTACGTACTCTAACGGATGGGGTTGGGTTGGGGATGGATCGAGTTTCACCCATTTAAAAAAAAGTAATTTGCTATAATATAATAAAATAATACATGTACAGTGTATTTCGTTTAAATTTTTTAAACTGAAAGACGGCTGACCCCGTGCCGTTTTCACTTTCTTCTTGAAGCCGAAAACAATAGTGAGAATAATAAAAAATAATCACCTTTAATATATTGTTTTTACTTCTTGTTTTTCATTTCTCTGTTTCTCTCTCTCTCTCCCCCACCCCATTTTGCGTTTTAGGCAAGTTTCTACTGCAGTTTTAGATATAGATTTTCAATAATTGTTTTATATCTACCTAGTCCCCAAGATATCATTTACCTGATGCATGATTAGCATTAATTCAAAGGGACAAATCAGAAAAATACTAAGACGATTTTACCCTAACTTTGGACTTTCAGTAGGTCGTGACTTTCCCGGCGCTACTAATGGCGAATACTAGTAGATTCTCATTGGTTACGAAATTAATAACATCAGGAACTTAAAATTGTTGTTGATAACGATGAGACGACTTATGTCCCACCTCTGTGCCATAAGAGAACTTTTATTTGGCTATTCACTACACCAGTTGACATTCGACTGCATTTCTATCTATGTATATTTCAACAGTGAAGGGAAGCTGTGTAATTTCAGAAGCTAATTAGGCAACGTCGAGAATGCTACGCCTTACTGAAAGTCCAAACTAAGCGTGTAATTCTTCTAAGTATATGACAACATTTTGTACTTTTTGTTCACGTAAACTTAATTTTGTATAGTCATCATCAGAGGGAGACGCAATTTTTACTTCCCTAGCAAAAATCTATATAATCTGTACTCCTGTTCAAATTGACACACTAGTGTAAGGAATATATTTAGGATATATCCTACACAATGAAAATAGAAAGATCAATAGTATTTTAACAAAATAAATTTAAAAAAAACAACAACAATTTTTTTCGAAAATCGATTGTCACATTCATTTGCCAAACAATAGTTTTTTCTCATTAGAAATTTCAATAAAATTACGTCATTTATTTTCCATTAGAATTCTGGAAGAAATATGGTCATATCAAACTGATTATGATTACCCCTTTCACAGTAATACATTGAATTCATGTGTTTTGTTAAAAAGATTATGAAATATTGAAAGTTATACCGGTATGTAATAAATAAAGTCAATACGGAACAAATAAAAAAGAAATATTGATTCAAATTAAAATTTCGGAATACAATTAAAGCAAAAACAAACCTTTAAACTTATTAGCTTTGGTTATCTTTTCAATATCTATTCAAAATGTTTAATTATCAGGTGCTTTTAGTTGAGTAGCAGCATGTAAAATCTGCATTTAGGAAATTTACAAAAAATACATCGAACACAGGAAACAAAACGAACCAGGAAATAAATTTTGATTTGTTCATACGCAACAAAATAAAAAAAATAATAAATATGACAATATTAAATCACGGAATTAAACAATCACTCAATCAATCTAAATGTCTCAAGAGTTAGTGGTAATCTGTAAACTCGGAACGTTTTCTCAAGGTTTGGCTTGCACGTACTTGTTATTATGACGCCATGTACGTAAAATGACGTTGATTCTAACCGTTGCTGATAAATGGACGAGTATAACCTCAATATACTGAATTTATAATAGTATGAAAATATACATTTGAAATGAAATCGTGTTCATTGAGCATGATCAATAGTAATAATACCGGTACTACAAGCTACAACTTCTTTATTTCGAAAATTCATGGCGTCATCGCTGGTATGAAACTACTTTGTTTATCCATATATTTGCCTGAAATTTTCATGATATTCTACAAATAAGCCATAAAAACTTTAATGTTATGCAATAAAAAGATGTCAAAGTTCAATAATTATTTACGTTGAATAGAAGTAAAAGGAATACAAAGTCACATTTCATTTCAATAAAATCGGCCCAAAATCGGCCCCGTGGCACTCTAGGCAACTGTGTGATCGGCCCAAAATCGGCCCTGTGGCACAGAAGTGGTTAAACAATAATCAAATAATATCAAGTTTAAGGGTTCCATGGACTTTTAAATTTTGTTCTCTTAAAATACGGACATTTTTCAACTAATATACAAGAATGTCAGTTAAATTCGCTCTTTCCATCTCGAAAATTCGGTCCTATAACACGCTCGGTATCTCGTTCTATTTCGACAGACTTTCCACCCATACCACATGGCTATCTATTACTTTATTTCATTAAAAGTATTTTATAAATTTCAAGTTGCACGATCGCATGTTTATCATATTTTCTTTGTTGTACGATCGCATATAGAGTCGTTGCCGATCGCCAAAACGTTTGGCATGTGTTCACTTCGAACCATTATTTCAACGCTTTCTATTTGATGAAGAATTTCAAATCGGATTTAAAATTTATGATTTAACTATTTACAATGCAAATGTGCCTTTTGGACTGTCGGGCATATGTAATAAGGTAAGAAATACCACTTAAACGAGCTTCATGTGTCACGTAAGGGCAGTCATGTTCAGGGAAAACTTAATTTTGACATAATATGTGGTGATTTTTAATGTAGAGGACTTTTATGGTGTTAAACATGTCTAGTAGCATTTAAAAAGTCAGAAATGTTGAAGGAAAATTGCGAGAAAATAGGACAAAGTAATGTTTTATTTAACCTCATCTTCCTCATGTAGTTGAATTTAACTATCCGCGTTGCCGATCGCATCTGCGTTGCCGATCGCGCGTTGACAGGGGTGGTCACAGTGTCCGGCAATAAATATTTCAAAAAAGAAAAAACGACAACACAAGTTGTAAAACGTTAGCGCTTTCATTCAAATTCTTCAGACGTTAAAATGTTATGGTAATGACGTTGTCAACAATACAATGACGTCACAATGAATGTTCGGGAAACAAGCAAAAGCGTACATGTTGAACATATGAGAAAGAAAAATACATGTATATAAAATACAATAAACTATGCTAAACTGTTCAAAGTTGGTTTTAAAGACTTAATAAAATATTTTTCTTTTTCTCTTCTTTCTACCGTACTGTCGGTAAACAGTTTGTAAAAGGGGAACACGGTGAATTGTCCGTTACCGCATTGGTCCAGGTGTTCACTTACTTTGACCTGTCTGTATTCCGGATGTTGAATATGTTGTTTGTGGATTCGGATGCGGGTACGGAGAGTAGTTCCAGTCTCGCCGATGTAAAATTTGCCACATCCTTCACACGTTATACAATATATGACGTTTTTAGACCCACAAGACATATTAGCATTAACTTTAAAATCTTTGGGCCCTATTTTAAAGGTATTTCCTTCTCTTATGTACGGACATGTTCCACAGCGACGGTCAGGGCATTTGCTGACTGAGTGGCTGTGAGTGCACATTATTTAGTTGAAAATGCGACTTGCACAATAAGCGGCGGAGGTTCTTCGGTTGCCTCTTACTATTAATGAATTGGAAATTTTGAAGAACTTTTGACATTTTTTCATCGGTTTTAAGAACTCCATTGAGATGTTGAACAATTGGGGTCATGTTTCTATTTCTTGGATTGTGGGTCGTAACGAAAGGAAGTATTTTCTCCTCTGTAGTGTCCGTAGATGGTGGATTAATTAATTGGTTACGGTCCAGTTCTTCGGCCTTTTTAATTCCGTCTTCTATAATTTCTAATGGATATTTCTGATCTAAAAGATACCCTTTCAACTCTTTAAGACGTTCCTTCCTTCGTGCCTCATCACTGACTATGGTACAGATTCTTCTCGATAAATTATACGGTATTGAACGTTTAGTATGTCTGGGGTGGCATGAACCGAAATGGAGGTATTGGTGTGTGTCTGTCGTTTTGTAGTTGACAGTTTCTCTCCATTTCGAGTAATTAGGACGTCCAGAAATGATATACTTTCCAGGTTCTCCTCCACAGTAAAATGTATGTCGGGATCAAGCTCATTTAGAATGTTGTAAAAGATGTCTATATTCATATTGTTTACATTCCAAATGATGAAACAGTCATCAAGATATCTTTTCCATTTCTCTTTAATGTTGATAGCGGTAGTTGAATCAAACCGATCACTGATTTTCTCATACAGTATCTCTTCTAAGTACCCTAATGTTAGAGTAGCGTAGGTAGGGGCCATTTTTGTGCCCATTGCTGTTCCTTTGATTTGCTCGTAATGTTTATCACAAAAAGAAAAAGTATTGTTCTTTAATACTATTTCTGTGGCTTCTAATTGTATACACCTCAAAACTAGGGTGCAGCGTGTTTCCGGGCAAGAGAACGGTACTGAATTCAGTGTAGGTCTGCATGAAATCCTTTACAGAGCCACAGACTCATTCGGAAGTGACCATTGTTTGGTATTGTTTGCAGTAAGAAGTAAGTAGTAAGAAGTAATTATATTAATAAATATCTTTAATATACATGTACCGGGTATGTATGATTTTTCAACAAACGACGTCTTAACTTTTAACATCTCGACATATGGATTAAGATACACATATCAGAAATGCAACTTGTTTTCACAACTGAATACGTGTATATATTTTTTAAAAGGTCGCTGTAGTGATCTCCCTTCTCCAGACAATGGTTATTTCGAATGTACAAACGATTATGGAGAAGGTTCAGTGTGCATTTTGAAATGTTTGAACGAATTTAGACCAAATGTTTTGCAGCCAGTTTCCTGTGAAAAAACGTTGAACTGGTCTCAATCCGTGATTAACGAGAAATGCTATGGTAAGATCTATATCAGAAAACTTCGGAACCAACTATTACAAAATTAAATTAAAATTATCTGTTGAGATTGATTTTCATCTTTCAGATGTTTGTCGACCCTTCATTAGAAAATACCCTAGTAAAATAATTGCAATTATAAATTCAAACTCTTCTCGGATGAACGTCAGTTGGGATTTACCCTCAGCAACAGATAACGATGGAATTGCGTTTATAAATTGCTCTACAGGGCAGCAGTCCAGTGGATTGTTACCGCTTGGTATATCAACCGTACACTGCGAAGTGTCAGATAGATCAGAAAATAAGGAACACTATCTACTTGATGTTAGTGTTAAACGTACGTTTTACAACTTACATTATCTATCTATGTATATTAAATGCATATTTAGTACCTAAATTTTTAAACAAAGTAGTATTGGAAAATAGTTGGCATATATTTGTTAAGATTAGTTCTATCTTTTTTTCAGAATGGACATGCCAGGAAATATTAAAGAAAAATATTTGCAATTCATCTATAACAAATTGTTTTGATGTTTACCGTTGGCAATTATGCTTAGTGACAAACTGTGAAGATGGAGAAGTAGCTAAGATTCTGTGTCCTTCGCAGAACGTATCAAGTGATATGTGGAACGTACAGGAAACACAAAGATTTTCATGCTCAGGTATATAGGTCATCGGAAGGATGATTTTTAGCAATAATCCATACAGGACACACACGTTTAAATTTAATAGTAAAAAGAATGTAGACCTCTTCAAAAGTTATGACCAAGATAAATGTTTTCAAAAGTAGGTCAAACTCCGGGGTCAAGGTCAAAGGGTCAAGATTTTTTGTTTTTGATTATGGCACAATAATACATGTGAAGTATGAAAACCCTAACTGTAACCGATCAAAAGTTATTGCCAAGGTTAAAGTCTTTAAAAAGAAGGCCAAACTCCAAGATCAAAGGGTCAAAGTTGTTGGTATCCAACAAAAGGTATTGTCACAAGGATTACTTATGGACAGTTTGAAACCCTAACCCTTACAGTTTGAAAGTTATGGCCAAGGTTAAAGGTATCCAATGGAAGGTTTTGACACGAAGAATGCATACGTGAAGTATGAATGTCTTGGCCCTTACCATTCAAAAGTTATGGCCAAATAAAAGTTTTAGAGTAAGTGTGTCAAACTCCAAGGTCAATAGGTCAAATTTGGTGGTATCCAAGTGAAGGTCTTGTCACAAAGAATACACATGTCAAATATGAAGGTCAAGTTATGGGCAAAGTTAAAGTTTTTGCGGACAAACAGACAGACAGAGAGAGAGGGATGGAAACGACAAAAACGATATAACCCTAATCTTCCATTTCGGGAGCATAAATAAAAGATATGCAGCACAAAAGTACATTAGCAAAAGTAAATGCTATGACACATTTTTATTATCATTTCATAGGATTTTTGGTAAAACTTAAAAGCAGTAGCAGTTCAATTTTGATCGGAGGTAGAAGTAAACCGCATACAGCCGTTGTTCTGTTGTTTTGTTTTCGAGTAATGGAGATCAATGGAGAAGACGTTCTATTAATCAAGCAGGAGACGAATTCCGTAAACAAAGTTCTAATTATATCTTTATCTCAACATGATCTGCAGTACGACTTACACATTACATACCAAAAGTAAGTCTACAATAGTTGGAATAAATTTGCTACGATTTATATATTCTTTCTATTTAATCTACTACGGCTTACTCCAATCATATAGGAAGAAATCAATGTACATATATGTTTTTATTTTCGGAAATATAACAGCAAGACGTTGCATATCAAAGGCAATGCTGTTGAAGAATGGAACACTTTAAGAGTGTTTATCAGCGTCAGTGGGGATACCTGGACCCTTAACATGAATCAGACCATCGGAAACACATTTCGCAGTTACGAAATGCAAGGGAATTCCTTATTTACTGACGAATATTATGCTGTGTTTGGACGTTCTCATTCCGTCGAATTTCCCTCAGATCAGAAAGGTAAAACGTCTTACATTCGTAATCTTGTAAAGAAATTTCTAAATAGATCTTTATGCATGATGTCAGATGTTTAATATGAATTAGACTTTTAGCATTTACGATTTCTGTTAATTTTTTTCACAGGGTTAGAAATTTGCGTTTTCCTTATAAAAGACGCGATTTCGGGAAATATTTTAAAATCTATGTGGCCAGAGGGAGTTTATTTTATAGATATCGAGTTTTCCACGCCCACTTATATTCAGTTGCTGATAAGTGGTAAGCCAATACAACACGCTTTTCTTTCATTTCAGCGCCAGCTGTTGGCAAAACTAAATTGATTTTAAACTTATTTGCTTGTAAAACTAGTCATTTTGTATTTTTTAGAGAGATTGAATAAGGAAAAATGATATTGTGAAGATGTGAAGCTTTTTAAAACTATTCTCAAACTCATTTTTAATTCTTTGACAGGATAAGTTTTTATATCTTACTTGTAGACAATATAATTTTATCATTCTTCGATCATGATTTGATATATGCCCATACAGGTAGCTAGATGTATTTTTACAAAGTTCATGGGTCAAATGTGACTTATTCATATATATTTCCATTTCTATTTGTTTTCTCTGTGATTTTTTTTTGAAAATTAGTTGAGTTGATTTCTTTACCATTCTACTGGAATGTAAATTTCACCAATCGATAAGAGCTTGAGAGGCGTAATATGCATGTAAATCTCGTGCGGCTTTGTCTGGGGCCTAATATGCCTGTACATATCGTGTGTCTGTCTTTGTATTTGACGTCAGTTAGCGGGGACTATCGAAATGGACATGGGGGTTATATTTAATAGCTACATTTTTAAATCTAAATTTACAATTTATTTCACAATGAAATGGAAATCTAAGGAATCATTGCCAAGATAGTAGAGTATACCAGGGACATCAACGAAAGCTACATGTAGCTGGAAAAGTGGGATAATTTTACGCATAACAGGCTTCACCCGTTATGCAAATTATCCCAAGTTTAAAACTCAATACGATTTGTAAACCGAATGTGTCCGTCATTTTCGATCGGACTCTCTCTATATCTGAGGACCCCTATATGAAGGACCTAACATGGTCACTATGCAGTGTAATCAGTCGACACCGGTGTAGACGGGCGTATGCTATTAAGCACTCGGTAGTGACCAAAAAGCATGTAACTACAACACTTCTTCTAATACAGTAGAGTAAGAAACCAAAGAAACAATAGTTGTACAGTTCAGTGTAGTATACAAGCTAACACATATACACGTAACTGCGATAAAATGTTAACAAAAGTTATGCAAGAAACCAGTACAAACACAGGTCGCCATTCCACATTGCTACCCGTGATAATAAATCAATCGTATATAACGAATGCGAAGAGTATAACCTGGTGTTGATATCGAAAATAGTAATATCGAAATGGGTATGTTTATTTACGAGTCGTGTTCAGCTAACTAGATAGTACTTAAATATACTGACACGCAAAAGAAACGCAACTAGCAGTAATTTACAAATGTTTGATTTTTTATCTTTTGATTTTCAAAAATGAATAAAGTAAGGCTAAATTCACTTTTCAGAACATCAGAGATTTGATAAAAATGTTAAATGTATATCTGTTTACTTTACTAAGTAAAATATGACTGTTAAAACACCCCCCTCCCAGCCATTCAAGTAAAACGTGCAAGACTGCCCTAAACAACAATTGCAGCTTAATTTCTACGATACAATAGGTTCATTAATATCGAGATCTCAGCGAAGGAATTATTCTTTGATACTTTTAAATGCCCGTTTTCAGATAATTGGGTCGAATTTTCTCTAACTTAGAGCAGTGTAGCCATCCTTGGACTTCCGGTACAAGGACTGTCCTTAATGAATGTGATACGTAAGACCCTGTTGAGGCGTAATGTTGTGAACTTTTGCATCAGCAACTCTCCATCACCTTTACATTGAAATTTTCCAGCTACGAGGGGTTATCAAAAAGTTCGTGGACTAGCGCCATAAAATTAAAACCGCTTTAGGTACATCAATGAGTTTTAAAATATTTATTTATCATTATCTTTTCTACCTATAGAATAAACCTCAAATCATAAATTCTATTTTTAAATAAATTAGTTAAGTTTTTGTAAGCAATGGTATGTCCAGGCGGCGCAACCTCGAAAACGACGTTTTTTTCGACCTAAGTGTAACTACGATAAACTTTTTTGATATGAACATTTGACATCCAAAAATCCCGTTAATTCAGGTATGTGTTGGGACACTATTGCACCATAAAATATGGAATTTTTACCTAATTCTGGAAGTTCTTTGAAATTTTATTGTAAATTTTACAAGGAGTATCGAAACAAACAGTGCCTTGAAAATGACGTCAAAAGGGGGAGGGGTTTCCTTTTTCAACATTCTATGAAGTTTTTTACCCTGGAAAAACTGGTATACACCTAGGAAATGTTTAAACTGACTACGGAGAAATAATATGCATCCAAATTTCTTGTTTTTAATGCCAAAATAGATTTCAGAGAGAAAAGGGATGCAAAGTTAATGTCGATTTGTAGTCAAGGTTTGAAAAGTCTATTACGTCAAACAATGACGTTGATCATGTATCTTAGCTATATTGTACTCCAAAAAACAAAATATGCTGGCACAATGAAGCGAGGATGTCTCCCAATGTATAAATCCATTTGCAAAAATATATGCATTGAAAGCTACCGTTCATGACATTGTAAAGTCATAAAAACAAGACGGTTTAGGTCCTTACTCAGCTCTAGGGAATCTCATCAAAATAAGTTTACGAGGTAGAAGAAGCAGGCATTGAAAAATAATGACGTTGTCGGACGTCATGAAACAAAGCGGCGACGGCGCCAGGTGATCATATAATGTCGTTTTTATTTTATAATAATTTGGGAAATAATGGACGTATCAAGTTAAAATTTTCAACATTTCTTTATTTTTTGTTGTTTTATGTTCCTTAGAAATTTTATAAGCCCAGACATCATAGTACTGATTCTATAGCCTCAGTCCACGAACTTTTTGATAACCCCTCGTAGAGCAATGGAAATGCGTACATAAGCCATTTTCAAGTAGCCTTAGCATTGTTTCGGGAATCGAAAGTGGAGTTTATTTTTTGAAATATTGCTGAATTACTTATGATGAACAGTAAAAAACCCTTAAAACTCCATAATATTGCCAAATGTTTTGTTAAACATGCAATTTTTGATTTCTGTTAAGCAGACTAAAACTTGACTTCCGGTTAAGGTATGGAAATCGTTCAACCGTTAATTTACTGATGTTTCCCAAATTGAAGATATTCATAATTTTAAAATACAAAATTCTTTACTTTACATAATTTTTTCCCCCTAAAAAAGGGTGTTGCGTTTCTTTTGCGTGTCAGTATATATTCATGGTTATGGTCCATAAATACATGAATGTATATATATGTATATATAAAACTGAGTAAAGAATGTACACTAGACAAAATTGCTAACGTACCACTTATTATTATTTTTTTATTGTGAACTGAACATTTGTCTAATTGTTATAATTATAAATAATACGCCATCAATCCCAATGCAATGGGATTGACAAATCATTGGTGTCATGAAAGAACGCAAAAATGACCATCTTGTTTTAACATGCTTCTCTAGGATCAAATGCTGCATACGGTGTAATTTTTTCTGATTTTTTTATTAGTACAAACATAAAGAATAAAAAGTTATTATAAGAAAAAATATTATTTATTAAAAAATATTAAAAAATATTATTATTCCTTCAAAGACGTATGGACACAATTTTTCATATTTTTTTTAATGAAATGTTCAGGCTTCAGTTATTATTGTAGCAATTTATGAATTAATAGATTAAAATGCTTTATTTTTGCTCAGGTAACATAATGATATATCAGATACATCATAAACAAGTTTGGAAAAGTAAAATAGTACTTTAATTCATTTGGTGACGCGTTAGCAATTTTGTTTAGTGTGTACGAATTTAAGCATCAGACATGTGAAATGCTAAAATGTTTATACGTTTAAAGAAAATGGGTAAGGTTTAGTGTTTTTAGAAATTATTAAATTGCATAATTTGTTTATCCTTTTATTGACATTTTAAAGCTGAACACGGCTTGTAAACAGACAAACGCCATTTTTCGATAATAAAGTACAAGTATCTACGCAGTTGCATGTACGAGGGGTGATCAAAAAGTTTGCGAACTAATTGAATAACTTCCATAAAAGAAACAATATTTGGTTTCAATGTTGATTATATTTTAAATTAATCCTCTCCGATTTTAATGCACATCAACCACTGTTCTGCGCGTATCACGTGATATTGGCGGTCACGTGACCCCCCTCCGTAGCGTTCTGTCACAAAAGTTGAAAGATTTTTCTGAGTTTTACATTTCTTTCTCTGTGAGTTAATTTTTATGACAAGAACAGTTCTTTTGTCAGAAATGGTCAAATCTCGGCAACAGAATGGGTGGATAAGAATATTCTTTCCAAAAATAAGCATGGCGACCATTAAAACACAAATCTTCTGTCTCGGGAGAGACCTTTATTCAAGGTGGATAGAGAATAGGTGCCTCCTTTTTATCATATCTAATATGTTTAAAATCTAAAGTAAACGATATATTAGGTATTTAATAATTATATTATTGTTCAAATATTCAACTATTTTTCAAAGTGTAAATTGGAGGTCTTTGATAGCAAATTGCTTAATTAAAAACACATATCTTTTCAAACTTGCTTTCGCTGGGCCAGATGACAAGTATCATTTTTAACCATCTGTTTTCCTTCACTAAAACGATCAATCCAATCATTAATTGAATTTATAGGAACTCATTTATCTTATCAAACTGTGTACAAATTATTATTATGATACTGCAGAGGGATTTCTAAGATATACAATAAATTGTACAGTCGTTTATTGAACGAGTTCGACAGAGACAACCATTTTTCGTCACAAGTGACCTACAGTGACGTCATTTTCACATTGTGACGTCACAAACAAGGAGAATACTTTTATTCAGCATATGCTATTTATAGACCTTGTATATGGCAATGTGTGTACCGAATTTCATTCTAATCTGAGTTATGGTTTTGTGGATATAGAGATAGTTCACGAACTTTTTGATTACCCCTCATACATGTGTGTATGTTTGTATACTGCAGTGACCCGTGCAACTGTTTGATTTCTTTGGTATCTCATTCTCTGCATTAGAGGTACACTTATTTTTTTGTCGCTCATGAGTGCTGTGTAGCATATGCCCCTCTACACTTGACGACTGATAAAACTGAACAGTGAATAAGCGGCTTTATATAGGGTCCCTTAGATAAAGTGAGTGAACCATCGAATATGACTGGCAATTCCTTTAACGAATCGTGTTCAGCTTTAATCAACTCAAATTTGGATATCAAAACACTTGCCTGAAGATGTGGCATTGAAATATAACAAAACTTATTTTTTATTGTTTGAATAATAATTTATGCTTTTGAAAATGGTAACTAGTATCAATATGTTTGTTTCGTTACTGACCATGTTTAATGACTTTAATTCAATTAAATGTGGGATAAATGTTATTTTCTCAAATATCAATTTATTTTTACTACCCCCCCCCCCCTTCACTCGAAAAAAAAAAAAACCCAAAGAGTTATGACTGGTAATAATTTCTGTTGATGATTGAAAAGTTGACAATCAGGGTATTAATACATCATATAGTAAATGCTTTATTTTGTATGTTTTTGTTGTGTGTGTGATAGTTTATTCCATGAGTTAGATGTTTGAATACTAGAATTGGCTAACGAATCTTTAAAGAAAATATAAAAATATTACATGTAATCAGGATTACAATGAAATTCCTAAACTGTAATTAACTTATTTATCTAAAAATAGTTTACTCAAGATAACCGCTACTTTGTGAAAAATATTCCATTATGAGGGATGTTCCAATAATGACACTTGGCTGTTTCACCCAAAGAATGAATCGTTTAAACGTCCAAATTTGACCCCCCGATAATTTACAAAAAATAAGTTTAAACATTTTCTACATATTTTTGTCTCAATCTTTCCATTAAACATTGTAGTTTATAAATTTCTTTTTCAATTTTCACTTCCTTGTACTATAATTGGGTATTTATCTGATTAATATAGCAGGGGTACGTTGTTTACATTTATTTCTCATAGACTTTAGGCCACACCCCCACCATGCAAGCCCATTTTTTATATGAGCGCATTGATGTTTCAAGTTGTAATAAATACGGTCAATGTAAAGAGTTATACTTGTCATTTTAATTCATGAAAGAAATTGAAACAGCCATGCGCTCACATGTTATTTTCCCAAAAGGTGCAAAATCTCGGGTACCTGTCCCTATAGTAAAGGCACCTTGTTTACAAATTCAATCCGCCTTTGACCTCATGAATAACAAAGCATTGAACACGTGACTCAAATCTATTCACTTTTCATGCTTTGAGCAGATCAATGCGACATCGTGTCCATTGTTGCGAGCTATCGATGGTCAAATCATTTTCAAATGGGTATAATTAGACTTTAAAGTACTCTGGGATAAAATGTTTATGCCGGTATATTCAGGACATGTTCACATTTTTTCTATTTGTTATTATAACGATATTTAAGTTGATTTTGTTTGATTTTTTTTTCGGTATTTATCAATATATATTGGAGGCTTGTAGCATAAATCTTGCACTTACTACTTGTATCTCATTGATATAGAATTTTAAAAAAAATACTGTGGATATATTATTTGTTCCTAAGTATACTTATCACATCAGTGGTACGTTCATCAAACCTTAGAAGATATTAAATATTTTTCTCTCAGTTTTTCGTTAATTTTATAGATCGTTATTTGAAAAAAATACTAATTTATCACATCTTTAGAAAATAAATCATTTGTTACAAAAGCATACTTCCAATTTAAGAAACCTTACGGAAAAGAAATTGAAGTATGAGACGTTAATAAGGCTTATATATCGGGTGAAAAGTCACTGGACGAACGCATTGCACAAAATGCACCCCTTATTGAATAGAGGGAAATTCCGGGTTACTTCTGACGACATGTTATAACTCTTTACATCGGCACAAAATCTAACAACAATTAAATATTAGTAGCAAACAAGAGGCCCATGGGCCACATCGCTCACCTGAGAAGCTTTGACCATTCTGTTCTTTACCAGATTTCCCCCTTGTTATAAATAATGCATCCCAAGCCTACCCCACTGATCATAATTTAGACATTTTGACATCCACACTACCCCATGAAATTTCCATGGGCACATATGTTTCAGCTTTTTTGGCCCAGTGGTTCCTGAGAAGAAGATTTTCAAAGATTTTTCCTATATATTTCTTTGTAAAACTTTGATACCCCATTGTGGCCCCGCCCTTCCCCCGGGGTCATGATTGGAACAATTTAGAATCTACATTATACCAGGATGCTTCCACATAAGTTTCAGCTTTTCTGGCCCAGTGGTTCTTGAGAAAAAGATTTTCAAAGATTTTTCCTATATCTTTCTATGTAAATTTTTGATTCCCCATTGTGGCCCCGCCCTTCCCCCGGGGGTCATGATGTGAACAATTTAGAATCTACATTATACCAGGATAATTCCACGTAAGTTTCAGCTTTACTAGCCCAGTGGTTCTTGAGAAGAAGATTTTTTAATGACCCAACCCTATTTTTGTCTTTTCTTGATTATCTCCCCTTGCGAGGGGATATGTCCCTTCATTTTAACAATTTAGATTCCCCTTCACCCAAGGATGCTTTGTACCAAGTTTGGTCAAAATTGGCCCAGTGGTTCTTGAGAAGAAGTCGAAAATGTGAAAAGTTTACAGACGGACAGACGGACAGACAGACGGACAGACGGACAGACAGACGGACGGACGACGGACAAAATGTGATCAGAAAAGCTCACTTGAGCCTTCGGCTCAGGTTAGCTAAAAACCGACTGATGAAGGGCGTAATTTTTTTTTTTTGAAATGGTTTATTGTTTATCTCAATTAAACAATGCAATCTGGACTGTACGAAGTACACTTGTCTAACACTGATGTTTTTTTTTTTATATATATCCAGCAACGATAATATTGACGTTAAACTGTCGTTTAATTTTCACTTTCTTGCGATTTTATTTTTTATACACAGAGTGAAGTTTATATATCGTATTTCAACCGTATTTGGTGTGATTTCGCAAAATCATATATGTACATGCTATGAAGTAGTTATTCATGTAAATTTAATGAGCTTTAATGTATTAATCATAAGCTTTAATGGATTAATTATCATCTCTATAAAAATGAAGTTTTAAAGTATGAAAAAAGTGTATATATCCTGCATTATACGTTCTATTCACAAATTCGAAATAATTGTGTTTCTTTATGTTTAAATAATTTGACGAATTTCTAATAAATCATTTCAAATATGACTCGTAAGTTAAACAAAAAAAAACGAAGTTAATCCTGACAAATTAAAAAAAGGGTACTTATATTTGGTCGTCTCTAGCACTAAATAAGAGGTTTTAGGTGTCACTTCATCATAAAACTAAGTACAATTCGTACACACTCTAATATATTCATACAAATCGCACGCTTGATAGACGCCCCGCCTTCTCATTCAAATACTTGTTCTACAATGACCTACATAGCCGTAATGGCGAAGTTTTACAGTGAAATATGCGACTTTATTTAATCGATATCATGTATATACTGAAAGTCTCTTTCCTAAACAATCCTTTATTAGTATCTATACACACTACACTTGAAGACTCCAGCTTTAAGATAACAATTTTCTTATTTAAAAGGGTAAAATTCTGCATGTAAAAAGGGGCGAGATTGCAGTGTTTAGAGGATTCATTCTTTATTAATCTTTGGATTTTTATTCATCCATGCTCTTCAAAGTACTCACTCTTGGTCCGGTCAAATTTTTAGACGATCAGCTAAGGTACTGAAATATAAACTTTTTTATACTTCTCAATAGGGAAACCAATCACATACTGATAAATTGCAGACCAAAGGGCATTTCGTAATTTGTATCTTTTTCTAGATAGGTGTAATTTAAGTTTGGTGAACATAAAGAAGTTGCACGGATAGAGAACGGGGGTGTGGTAGGAAATTAACCTTTTCCACCTCCAAATACGCAGTCGCAATTGTAATCGCAGATGACCTTAAAAATATTTTTAATTTAGTGCCTTAATATGTCGTAATGATGATTAAGATCATAATGGTTAAATTCATTTTCCTTATAGTCAAATAATATATGCCATGATATTCAGTTCATTTTTAAGAAGGGGAGCATACATACTGGCTCTAGGGGAAAATTCTATTCTATAATAGAATTTTCCTTCTTTTAAGGGTTACCCTAGATTGCGATTTACATTTGAATATCGTTAACCACAGCCAGCTATCTACGGAAGGGCGGGGTTCTTCTTTACAAGACTTCCCAGATTCCGTCACTTTCAAATTAAACCACTTCCCTTCTCATCTTAACCTAACTTTACTACAGACAATGTGAGATTCATACGTCTCAAATATGTTTATAACAAATTAACTTTCATGATAATATAGTCTTTTTTAAAACTGAAATTTGTGAATAATTTGCATTGATATGTTCCTTTAAACATGACTCATGTATTTAGATGACAACAACACATGTAGAGCCTCAAAGGAATGTTCATCATCAGATTGTAATTGTTCATCAGGCTTCAGTGGAGACCAGTGTGAGATACCACCCAATGTTTGTGTACCAGGCCTTTGTAAAAACCAGGGACATTGCAACGATACTGGAAACAATTCGTTCGAATGTTATTGCAGAAAGGGGTTTGAAGGTCTCTATTGTGAGAAAGAAACCAAGGAAGGTAGATATTTATAGTTCTTTTGCTATAAGATATTTATAAAGATAAAACATATACCAATTGTTAAATACGAATCAAAATATAGAAAGATCACAAATACATTTAAAGTTTTAATTAGAAAAACTGTCACACTTGCTTTGGCATAGGCTTATGCAGGGCCTAAGAAATACTTCAGAAAAGAAATTAATAGCTAAACAATTGAATCCTTAAGCATAAAACTATAAAAAGGGAAAACAATTTCTCTTTAGAATTGAATTCAAATCATGTAAAGTTTAATTGTTATGTTAAGTACGTTTTAGCTTTAGCTCACCTGAGCCTAAGGCTCAAGTGAGCTTTTTTGAGCAATATTTGTGTTTGTCGTCGATCGTTTTTGTTAACTTTTCACATTTCATCTTCTCAAGAACCAACGGACCAATTTCAAACAATCTTACCACAAGGTATCTTTAAGGATATCCGATCCTCAGCCAGGAAGGATAACTCCAAAAATTAATATTTAATTTTAAATGCATCAAAATAAAGCTTGAAAACGAATTTTTTTCATGCAACAATTTTCATTTTATTCATCTTTATAAGATTCAAGGTTTTTTTGACGTCTTAGAAAAGGTCTTTTAAAAGTTGACATTTGTACCCTATAAAAGGGGAAAAAATAATACAGTTTTAGAGAAATATGATTTTCTTGAATCCAGCCTTAGATACAAATGCTTATTAGCATGATATGAAATAAGAAGTGATTTGTGGTCTCTTGCAATGAAAGCAAAATCTTTTTACCGTGTGTATTTTAGAATACATGACGGAAATAGAAGACAAAGAATACCAAATAAGCATAAAAATCATGACAATTTCTCTAAATGCCTGGATACCTATCGTTTTTTAACCTAAAATATATTTATTTATCAATTTACAATTAGAAAATGCATTGCTGATTTTCCAATTCGCTTTTTCTGCAAAAATATTGGAGTTTTGACAATTTTCCCTATACATGTATACTATGATTAACTTTAATCTTTAACTTTAAAGAAATACTGTGGATAAATTTAGTAATACATGGCTTTGTGGATTCAGAGATACTTTTTGAGTATTTTTGATTACTTAACTGCTAATTTTAAAACTGAGGATCGGTCTACCTTAAGTGAAGGGAATTCAATTTTGTTCAATTAAAGAACCATACCCTCACCGAAGGTGAAATAATAATGACTTAGTAAAAAATAAATTGCATCTTTTAAAAGTTTTCTTCTAAGGAACCACTGGGTTAGGAAAGATGAAACATGAAAATCACGTGGAATCAAACTCAGGAGATAAAGATTTATAAAGGAATATATAGGAAAAGTTTGAAAATCTTTCCAAGAACCACCGGGCCAGGAAAGATGAAACTCATTTGGAATCATTCTCAAATTCTCAGGTAGATTAAAGTAGATTAAAGTTTGTTCAGATCATGACCCCCAGGGGTAGGATGGGACCGCAATTCCTCCGCCACCCACTGGAAACTTTTCAATACTGAGTTGATTTGTATGTTTATCTAGCACGTGAGCGCTGTGGCCCATGGGCCTCCTGCTTTTACTTCTTATTCTGTTTTAAAAATAATTTATTGTTGGGCTTTCCAGGTTGCTTGTAAATCATTTTCAAGTTATTCGTTTAAAACTATCGCGTCAAATAGCCACATGCTGTCCGAATAAACATCATAAATATTGAATAATTCTATACTAAGACATTTTTATTTACTTGAAACACTTAGCATGGAAGTTTGGGTAAATCGACACTTTTCAAATAAATCACATTCGAAAAATCAGGCATATCTTTTTTTTTTTTTTTTTTTTTTTTTTTTTTTTTTTGTTAAAGGAAACGTTAAGAAACGCTTTAGTCAACTGATTCCTTGAAATATATATTTATATTTTGTGTGAAATAATAAATACAATAATAAAAACAAAGTATAGACCAACAACATCCAAACATTAAATAGACTGTTACTTATACGAATCCTGAGGATAACATTTTCTGAAATACTATGAAAAAAATATCGCCGATGATTAAAAAAAATATTTCTTACTTTATAAAAATGATTTATGTACGCTTTTGGTTTTATCATGATTATAATAATACTAATATTTCTAGTTTACATTAAAATCAAGTTTGTCAAGAGTTCCAACGTCAAGAAGACATTGTTATCACTTGCAACGAGGAATTTGCAAATGAAATTTGCACAGTCACATGCAAATCTGGTCGAGTCCGAGTTGACAAATATCGCCAATATTCAACCTACATGTGTGGGATGTCAACAAGTCATAAATGGGTGGTGCTTAAAACTAAGAATCCATTGAAAGATGACGAGGCTCCAATTTGTGCGCGAACAGGTACATTGAACTCAAAGTTCATAAATATATAAAACCCCATGAACAGTAGTTTTTTTTCAATCTTTCTCTTTCCTAAATTTGTTTTTTATATCCCCCCTTGGAAGAAGGAAAGGCATATTGCTTTGCTGCTGTCTGTCGGCCGATCTGGCGGCCCACCTAGTTTCCGTTCATTTTGTTCACAACCGTTGCACATATGGTATGTTGGTATGTAGATTTATCATACATATATGCATGGCCTGCGTGGCGCAATGGTTAGAGCGTCTGCTCTAGAGTCGCGAAGTAAGGAGTCAATCCTTACGTCGCGGGTTCGAATCCCACTGTGGAACGTGGAGACCGGTCCTTCGGATGAGACCGTATAGACCGAGGTCCCGTGTCGTAGTAGGTGCTGGCACGAAAACGATCACTCCCTTCTCAATTGCCCTGAGTGCCGAGTATAGGCCAAAATTTGCAGCTCTCCAACGGCGGGTGGTGGCGTCTCCGTATGAGTGAAAATTTCTCGAGAGTGACATTTAACAATATACAATCAATATGCGTGTTAAGTTCTGTTTTGGGTATAGATTCATCATAAGAATACCTAGGCCAAGTTCTAGTTTGTGTACGAACGAGCCAAAATTGATCGAGTTATACCCAATGGTCTTAGAAAAATTCCAATTATCTGCAGTTTCCGTTCATTTTCTTTCCAACAGTTGCACATTCTGAAATGAAATTTTGTATAAAGATTTATAATAAGATTGATTGGTTCATATTTTATGTTGTTTAATGTCCCTCTCGAGAATTAAATTTTTCACTCATATGGAGACGCCACCACTTACCGGTGGAGGGCTAGAAATTGTGTCCTAAGCTCAGCACGCAGGGTCTTTGAGCAGTGAGGGATCTTTTTCGTACCAGTACCCCGGTTTATACGGTCCCATCCGAAGGACCGGTCTCCACGTCCCACAGTGGGATTCGAATCGGTGACGTAAGGTTTGACTCCTTACTTCGCGACTCTAGAGCAGACGTTCTAACCACTGTGACACGCGGGCTACATTATTATAAGAAGATCTAGATCTAGGTGGAGTTCTGGTTTGTGTACGATCAAATGATTCTTGACAGAGTAATGCCCATGGACTTAGAAAAATTCCAATTATTTGGGGGAGGGGGCGTATGTGTTTTACAAATATCTCTTGTAAATCATACGTATTGATAAAAACCAGTAGATGATGCTTCAAGCAAATACATGTACCTGCATGAATATTAAATAGTGTTTGCTGCAAATGTTTTTCTTCAGTTTGAATGCAATTTATCTTTTTTAATTCAAGTGTCGTGTGATAATTCTATTAGGAAAGTAGGTTTGAATTTGCATTGCCTAAAATTTGCCTAACAGTTTTATTTGATATCAATTTAAGCTTTGTTGAATTTCAATTGTATATATTCCTTAGAATGTAATCACATTGATTTTGGGTTCATTATCGTATAGCAGTAACTGTACGCCCTTGGATTCCATTTAGGCCCATTTAATTTGTACACATTAATAGCATGTTTTATTACTATGGTATACAGTATCAACGAATTAAAAGCCTAGACATAAAGAATATAATTTCAGAGACAGTAGATATTACCATTAATCACAATGAAAAGAAAAGAAAAATATCAATAATAACATTTGGATTGATTGATTGTATATTGTTTGACGTCCTTCTCGAGAATTTTTCACTCATATGGAGACGTCTATTACATTTGGAGATAGCAAACTCAGAAAATCAATGAAAGGGTTCCTCCTACCTCTACTTACTGAAATAAAGATTTAAGAAAAACAAATTCTTATATGCATTCAAATTAATGCCATTAATCAGAACGGAAATCGACAAGCTTTTTGTAGAGAAAAAAACCAAGTCTGGTCCTACAGGTCAGATCCCTATTTATAAGTGATCCTTAGATGTTAAATCCAGATAGAAACTAACATCTAATTTAAATAAAATTAGATAGGTACTTTCTAATACTGTTATTATATAATTTATGTAATTACGTTGTAGATCTGATTTTGCCGAAATTATTGAGAGCAAACATAACGATTAACTATAAAAATATAAAATGTGGCCAAATTAAGGAGACTGTGTGTGAGAATTGGTGCAACATTGAAATCGGCATCCAAAACTGTCAGAACCAGAATAACACTGCCCTCAGATCTTACTCCGTTCAATTCAATCTAAAAAGAGACATGGATGTAAATGAGGATGTGAATCTTCGAATTGAGGAATTTTATCAGACAGGAAAAGGTAGGGACAAATGCGATTAAAAATTCAAATTTTATATCATTATGTCATTTTTATAGTTTCGTGGGTCATGCATGCAAGTGTGTTCAACACAAGTGTATTATAATATAACACCACCTATTTATACTAAAATTAATAATGTTGAAGTTTAGCGAACCTTAAAAAAGTTATTGAATTACATGTACAACAAGGTTGGTAATAATTACTTTAAAGATTGATAATATTATTTTCCTTTCGCTTCATTTTACATTGTAGTCTCCAGTGCACTATTTAATTTAGTTCGTGGTTACTATGCAATGGAAGCAAAGCTATTGGAATTAAGAAGAATTGTGGCAATCACCCTGGATCCAGGCGGTAGTAAAAAGAGATCTTATACAACAAAGCAAAGTAAGATTTTAACAATATCTTGTATACGAGGGCCGTTCAAAAATTACGCGGACTTCTTGCACAGAAGAAATATTTGACGACATAATCGGGCAAAATTTCACAAATAATATAAAAGAATCTTTACTTATATGGTCTTCAAAATTTCATATCAAAATGTTGTAAATTGGTATTAATTTTGAGTGATTTTTCAGGACATACCATTAAGTCACGGCGCAGCAAAATCTTCGACGTCACAAGGATTATAATAATATAAAAAATATGTGATTAAGCTTTCATTTTCTCAACATTTTCCCTTGAGTACCTGTATAGTTTGAGTTACCTTATCTACTCAACATCAAAATCCCATTTCTTACAAAGCTTAAAATCTATTAAAAAAGTAAGAATAAATTTTTTTTTTTTAAACCAAAAACTACTTATGAGATATAGTGTGATATTGGTGACTCTCAATCACGTTCTTTACAGTCCGGATAAAGTTAACTTTTCGTTTATAATCTTCTTCCCGTCCTCCCGTATAGCCTTTTCACAGAGGTCTAACTGTCTAAAATTTCAATTTGCTATTTGTGGGCGAATGTCACAAGTAGCCTAGTTTACTACATGTTTTATTATGCATATTTTGGATCTATGTTGCCGATATCTCGAGCATTACACATATTTTAACAAAAGTGTGGTGCGCCGTCAATTCAGGAGACGTCATTTTCACAGTCGTTTTCACGGGAATTGCATCAGAGAAAAATCACTATATTTCTGTTAGTACGTCAAATATTACGTCCGAAATCTAAAAACATAATAATAGAACAATTTAAAGGTACATTTGAGAAAATTGTTAAAAAATAACGCGAATCTTAGAAAATGAATGAGTTAAATTTTTGAATCCGCATGCTTTTGCTTCAATTTTTTTGTCGTGCGCCGTACCTCTCCATCAACGATAACAACATACCGATAATTTTAGTAGAATTTTTTTAAAATACAGACATTTTGCCCAAAATTTATTGGAATCTTTAAGATACATATTTCTGTGAAATTTTATAACTATATGACGTCTGTTAGAGTAAATAATAGCACAGTCCGCGTAATTTTTGAACGGCCCTCGTAAAAACGACTTCATCCATTTTACGAGAGATAGAGAAGAAGAAGAAGAAGAAAGAGAGAGTAAAGAAAGAGACCAAGAGCTTGATCGTAAAATATTTCTGGAGAAATACTAGTAATCTATATAAAGGTTAAATTTACCTGTACTTCTGAAAATTATCGATGTTTGTCTAAAAACATGTACGTGAAAAGCACGAGGGTTGTTCGAAAAGTTCTGAATTTCTGTAATACACAAATGTACCTTTATTATTTGACTTATGTTATCCAAATTTAGTTAAATTTTTAACAATTAATCCAAATGAGTTTAATCAGTTTTTTTAAATATCAAGATTTATGTAAAACTTATCAAGATTTTAAAAGTGCAAAAATCGGATCGCGGAGCAGATCAAAATTAAGTAAGTTACAAACATTGACTCTGTAGTTATATTCTCTGTAAAATGGAGCAAAAACGAAAAACAACTTAGAAATTGAAATTAGGAATTGTTACATCGATTCGTATTCCAAATTAAGGCTTAATATTTTGCGTTTTTGAAAAGAAATTAACTTGAGAAGATAGATATTCCTCATAGAAACGACAACAACAATGACTTTTTAAACGTTACGGAACAGCAGATAACGATTCAATTTTGTGTTTTTATCAGGAAAAATCCTGTATAAACTCTAAAAATATTGAAGGAATAAAAAAAATGTCACGAGCGAGTTGTGCATGTCTGTACAAATAGTACAGGCAGTATTTGAGTGACAGGGACTCTGTATCGAATGAGGACAATCTGTGAAGAGACAGTTTAATTTTAAAATCTGAAAAAAAAAACTTTTAAAATTTGGAAAGTCAATGAAAGACATAGGCGCTTCAGAGTTGCTTACTCCGTGAAAGCAGAGTTATGTAATAAAAGAAATTAAAACCTTTACAAATGCCAAGAATTAGAAAGAGAATTTAATGAGTGGGCATTGCATTTGACATTGATTGACATCGTTTAAGAACTTTTCGAACAACCCTCAATAAAACATTTGCTGTGGCCTTCAACTCGACATTACAATTTTTGCTGTTTTTGAGGTTAATACAATTATTTAGCCACCTGAGGAGTAAAATATTCACCGAGTCCGAAGGGCAAGGTGAATATTGTACTTTGAAGGTGGCTAAATCATCGTATTGACTGAAAAAGAGCAATAATTGTTTTAGTATATGATCCAATCATTTAATGATACAACTTATTTTTTATTTGAATTTGTTGAAGTCCTAACCAACTATAAAGAAGAAGCAGAGTTACAATGTACATAAACTTCACCAGTCATGTTAATTTGAATTAATGTCAGGCTCTTCTATATGAAAGAGTTTGAAAGGATGAAGGATTATCAGGGAGAAGTGAGAGCTTTAAAAAAAAAGGTAAAAATGTTTGTTAAAAAAAGTACCTGAGGGAGGAGGAGGGTCCCGGTGTAAAGACGAATAATGACCCCCATCGAATAATGACCGGGGGTCATTTTTCGACATTGAAAAATGACCCCCGGTCATTATTCGACGTAGAAAAATGACCCTTTTGCCCTTAGAAAAAATGTCACCACCCTAAAAATTTGCAGAACCCATGTGAAGAAAAATGACCCCCGTAGAAAAATGACTCCCTGTGGATTAAAGCTGGAACTTTTAGGGGGCAAAAAAAAATAGATAAAGAAGAATATTGGCCAAAATGCTCACCTGAGCTTATTTGGAATAAATTGATGATATATTGATCTCATAACATACGATTATAGCTATAATTTAAAGTCAATGCGATGATTCAGAATCTAAAGGAGTAAAAATTTATCGATCCTAAAGGGTTAAGTAAACATTGTTTTTCGATGGTGGAAATCATCGTACTGACAGAAAAAATCAGCAGTATCACATATTATTATATCCTCCGCTTGAAAAGCGGGAGGGTATATAGTGATCGGGACGTCCGTCCGTCCGTCTGTTACGCTTTGGGGTATCCATCTGTTATCCGCAACTTCTCTTATATATAAAAAGATGTGTTTGTGAAACAGCTATGCCCCTGTATGGCAACATAGCGAAGATTATACTTTTCTTAAATGCAATTTAAATATAATGGTACCAAAAGTAGGGTCTTCTCACAAGAAATACAATTGCAAAATAGGAAAGCCCTAGCACCACTTGTTCAAAATTAATGGCTAAGGATAAGTGTTTGAAACGTAGGTCAAACTCAAAGGTCAAAGTTGATGGTTTCTTATTAAGAAAGGTTTTATGTAACAAGGATTACATTAATTTGTGAAGTATGAGAGTACTAGTATCTACAGAAGTTATAGCCAAAGTATATTAAAAATTTGGCATTTTTTTTGTAAAATGGGACAAACTCCATGGTAAAAGTCAAAAGGTCAAATTTGGTGGTACCCAAAGTAAGGTCTTGTCACAAGGAATATACACATATTAAATATGAAAGGCATAGCTACAATAAATGAAAAGTTATGGTCAATGTTAAAGTTTTTGCGGAGAAACAGACCGCCAAATAGACAGACAGACAAACAGACGGACACGATAAAACTATATACCCTCGAATCTTTGATTACAGAAACATAAAAAGAAATGGTCTTCAATTAACTTTTCATATTATGATACTGTAAAAAAGAAGACGTTACAAAAATGAAAATGTTTGTTCTGATTTTCATATTAAATTCTCTGAAAAATATACTCAGAACTGGGTAAAAGGGTGGAGTAAAACAAGAATTAAGTTAATTAAGAAATGTAATGAATACTGTGTGCTAATTCACAGGAGTCTTAAGTTTTAATCGTCAAACAAAAACAAAAAGAAAAAAAATCCGGAAAATTTTTTTTCTACCCTTAACTGAAAAAAAAACACGGGTTTTTTTAGTTAGGGGTAGGAAAAAAAATTTCCGGATTTTTTTTTTTTTTTTTTTTTTTTTGACGATAAAAACTTCAGACTCCTGTGACTAAATCTATAGGTTATGTCTACATGTATAGTTTTTGCATTAGAATGTGTATTTTACACTAGCCTATAGCTTTACAGAGCATGTTTTAGGTGTTATACCCAGCCCACCCCCTTACTTATTTAGGAGGAAGTCGATTATCAACAAAAGCAATAAAAAAAACTACCCTTCCTTTATTTTTCCTTAAAACATTTTTGTTATGTAATCCTTTGTGTTTTTAGTACATTATATGGCATAATAGATTTGGATATTAAAAACCTGTACATTAAGTCACCTGTAACCGTACATTAAGTTGACAAAACTCTCAATTCTTAACTTAATCGACAGCGTTTTGTCAACTTAATGTACAATTAAAGGTAACTTAATGTACAGGTTTTAAATGTTGAAAACAATACATAATCAAAATAGGCAGTTAAATTTTTAATTTAACGCACAATTATGCATAAATATCAAACAATTGTATATGAAATGTTCAACAGTATATCATCTTTGGAATTGACAAATCCAATGCAAAAAATTCACACGTGTAAATCCTGATGCTTACTAACTCTAGAGCATCCATATTCAGAAGATTCTTTATTAAAAAACAAACGTCTCATCCTCTTCCCAAAATTTGTAAATGAATGCTGGACGTGGTAGATCCATTTCATGAATGTTTAAAATATATCCAACAGGAATTTGAAATTTAAAAGAAAAAGGCTTATTTCCAGATGAAATGATTATCTCACTATATGCACTGCAGGTGGAATCATTTTTGGGACAGAGATCACAAATTTTATCTTTTCATACACTTGCCATCATCTGAATCCCTCATATTTCCATGAATTATTCCATTTACTCTCTGCTGCTATTTATTGTTGGTTCAATTGTAGGATCATATGTAATAGATTTGTGGCCCGCTTTTTCTATCATAAACTGTTTCCTCAAACTTCATACAAGGGGGTTGCCGTTGTTGTTCTCAAAGAATGTTTCGTATCGCAGTGTCCCTTAAATCCTGATTGTTATAAAAGATTTGCGATAGCTTTTGTCAAAACTTGAACACCAACTTCAGAATCTGAAAACCTACAAGCTTCTGCTTGTGTCTACCTACTGTAAAGTATTTACCACCCTTTGGCCCGTATTTTGGAGAAATATGTATTACTTTCTCCATCTGATGAGGACATCTTCACTCACGAAGCTTTACATGGGAAGTGGTCAGAAATCTGGTAAACTATCATTTAAATCTAAATTTACCTGGCACCGTCCATTAAGTTAAACAATAAGCTATTGTTTTCACCCCCCCCCCACTCTCTGGACAATCAAGTGTGTTACGTAATCATAGGAAATACATAACCATCACCTGGGACAGTTTATTAAGTTAACAATAGAGAAAATGTTTTAAGTAGGATAAAGTCCTCAAACTGTCCATTCTGTGAGAGAAAAAACTATTCTCGGCCCTTCGGGCCTCGAACAGTTCTTTCTCTCACAGAATGGACAGTTTTCGGACTTTCTCCTTTACATAAGGAGGTACTAAAAATAAGCTTAAAATAATCTACTATTCTACTAATTTTCAACTGTTACTTTGCCACAATACTTTCAAGTATACCCCCGCCAACATTTAAAGTATGCTTTTAAATTAATCATGGCGAAGTAAATTATGATATGATAGAACTTGTGTGAAGGCTTAACTTCATTTCAATATTTTATCTAGAGCCTCTTTCATTATACGTGTAATTGAAAGGTATAGAGTTTTATTTATATTTTTGCTTTTCATTTATTTTTTTTTTTTGTTTTGATTTAACGTATTTTTTTTGGGGGGGGGGGTTAAAAATTTCCTCCTCTTTCATTGTCGAAAAGGATTTGCCAAACTTTTACAAGCTAAAAGTTGAAATGAAGGAAAAATTAATTTTTCTCTTTAAGAGTATTGAAACCTGATTGTTGCGTGGTTTGATTTCTAAAAACAAGTGGAATATCATTCTTTAAGCAAACACTATAAGGAGGAAATTAAAAAGAAAATTTATTACTTGACAGAATCTCTTTTTACTTTAAAGGGGGTCATTTTTCAATGGGGGTCATATTTTTATAGGACTAACATATAAAATAATGACCCCTATGACACTTTTTCTACAAAAAATGATTTTTTTTCTACGGGTAGGGGGTCATTTTTTTGTCGTTGAAAAATGACCCCCGGTCATTATTCGATGGGTGTCATTATTCGTCTTTACAGCGGCAACCCCAGTTAAAACACCAACCACAATTTATACATTAGCCTAATATTATTTTTACATGATTAAAAAAGTCTGTAGCAGGTGTAATATAGACGTTGCGCACGGTGTTGGTAAACATTGACGTTACGTCAAAATAACGTTTAAAAGTCATAAAGTTGTTATAACGTTTTGAACCTTATACATGCATACTTTAGATCTTTAAATGAATTTTATTTTTCAAAAGTATAAAAAAAAAAATAAAAGGGCACATAATGTTCAATGTTTGAACCTTCTTTTTTGAAATATTTAGATGTTTATTAATACATCTTTATAATAAAATTTTAAGAAAATTTACTGGAATGCCAAAGGCACTTAGTGAATATTCCTCTTTCTATTTTTCTCACTTCTCTGTCTTACAAGGAGAAAATATGTAAGTAGTATTCCCTTTCAACCCCCTTCCATATTTTTTTTCAGTTAGGTCATTACAAGTCTTTTATTTCTATATAGCGTCCGCATGCGCTTTGGGTGTATAGAGATTGATTGATTGATTGTATATTGTTCAACGTCCCTCTCGAGAATTTTTCACTCATATGGAGACGCCACCACTTGCCGGTAGAGGGCTACAAATTTTGTCCTATGCTCGGCACTCAGGGCCTTTGAGAAGTGAGGGATCTTTATCGTGCCAGCATCTACTGCGACACGGGGCCTCGGTTTATACGGTCTCATCCGAAGGACCGGTCTCCACGTCCCGCAGGGGTGCATAGAGAAAAAAATGAGTTAATTTTTTTTATACTTCCTACGTTTCAATGGAACTGGTGTGATTTTGAATTTAAAAATCAATTTAGTATATTGAGGGGATGAAAGAAAGGAGGGATGGAGACGTTTCACCATTATTGAAAATCTGGTTTATCACGAACATTCTAAAATCTTTTTACTATTTTTGGTGAAAGATGGGGGGTGGGGTGTCTAATAATGCATGCTTCGTTTAGAAGGGTATTTTTTGTGAAACGATATCATTTTGGGGTTTTCATATTTTTTTCCTTTGGTACTTCTACACATGATGATTAAGTTTAATAAATATAATTTGTGAAAAAATCTCCAACAAGCTCAGGTGTTGAATATCGGGGGGTAGGGTGGGGGTGGTTCCTGCATGTCCACAAGTACCTGTGAGCTGGTACTACGGACCTGCATGAAAAAAGCCACGGCGATAATAATTTGACGATCCCGATGTCATATGTACGCATTGCGTAAAATGACGTTTTTCGTACCTGTGACAAAATGGCCACACTTTTATTGATGCTTGCATTTATTTCATGTAGACAATTACTGTAAATTAAAGATTGTGTAATTAGTAAATGCAGCATTAAATGTTCTTTCAAGCTATATACATGACTGCTTTATATCTTACATTATTCTATATATTTTTGATATGTTACTGAGACATATTTAGTAACAATACAGTGACTCGTGCGTGCATAACAAAATGGCTACACTTAAGAAAGCCTTCCTAATATTTGTGTTGGAAAAGTAATATAAAATGTATCAATGCAATTAATCTAAGAAATATATGTACTAAAAGATTATTCACCAAAATTTAAAATATTTGTCTGGGATTTATGTCTGGTACACATCTCCATTTCGGGTAATGTCAATGTAAGGAAACGATTTCTTACTGTAAGACATTTAACCTACGCACTGTGATCCAGTCTAAATTCATGAAATTGATACAATGAACTCAGCAATATCGTAAAGAATGCATATATTTTTATAGTACCCCCTTAAATTCATTTCATTCAGAGAATTGTAAGTGCATTTTTTCATACCTTTTAGTTACTCGAACAATAATTGATGTAACGTCGGACACGGGAATTTCGCCGTAAATGACTAACGCCTCATCATAGTTAAAATAATTTTAAATTATTCAAAAAAAAAATTAAGAATTATTCATTACTTTAGATAACATAAATGATTTCATTTTTAATTTAAAGTAAATATGACATCGCGAAACCGCCAATTTCTTTGCGACTTAAAGAGTAAGATATTATAGTATCAACACCGTGCGCAACGTCATAGCGTTCCAAAAATATTTGTATCAATTTAAAATTTCTCGATCTATTTTTAGATCAATGTAGAGAAAATAAATCCTTATATTCACCTGGAACGTCACTCCCAAGTAAATATAACGAACTACTCCCGAAATGATGTCTATCAAATTTGCTATGTGTCTTAAAGTCAATCAAACATCATCAGTGATTATTTGTTGAAATTTGGCATACGGTACATTAGCTGTTATAATTTTTGTTAGCAAGATCGGTACCAATTTTCGCTGCCCATTATATAATTTTTTATCATTGAAATGCACCTGCTCATTTGTGTATAAAACAGACATTGGTTGCCGTAAATTTTACATATTTCAGTTAATATTTCTTTGAAGTTCTTAGAGTTTTACAGCAGCTTTAATGAAGCGTTTAATTTCACACTAGTTTACTTATTCTTTACCATTCATTTTTAATGCAGTGTATCGAGTAGCCCGTGTTTTCCAGTTATTCACAATGAAACTATGTGATGAAGAGTAGTCACATTAATTGTTATATATTCATTAAAGATTCAATAATTCGAAAACGTAAACTTTATGTAATATGATATCTGTATTGTATGCCATACAGTTCAGGACATTATTTATTGAACAGCCCTCGTACATCCTGGTGAGCTTGAGATAAAAAATACCACAGAGTCTGTCACATCTGTTTCATATTTGGGCATTTTACTTGAAAAAAGATGTTAATGGTAATTTAAATACCAAGCTCTATAACTATTCGATCGTCAACTTCCCTTTCTTATGCAGCAATTATCTTCATCACTTGCATACGGAATAAACATTGAATCGATTTGCAAGAATATGCTCTACGTACGTACAATTTCTAAAACGAGGTAAATTATTGACCAACAAGTTGATGAAACAAGAATATCGGCAATCTAGTGTTAAGTCATCATTTCGTAAGTTCTGTGGTCGAAACAATGACCTTGTCAGCAAATACAATTTATCATTCATCAAATGTTGACTGACGTTTTTCATGCTTATCCTTAGTCCATTATTCTCCATACATAACATCGCAATTAATCCTTTGATTTACAGATATTGTCGAAGTTTCCGGAATCGTTGTAATTGTAACAGCTGAAACCATCTGCGAGGAGGGAAGTTTCAACTATTTCGGTAGTTGTGGTAAGATTCTTTTGTAAATATTTGAAACAATTGCGAATTTAAAATAATGAAAAACACTTATAACAACAGACTATTTTAACAATTGTACAAATGTACTTTAAATCTGTATTTTTTCATCGAAGTTGGCTAAACATATTCTATTGAAAAAATGATGGCTTGTTTGTAACCAAATAAATTGATGCTTTGATGAAGTCACTGCTGACTAAAATAGATAATTCCGATTACATTTAATATACTTCACAACAATCGTAGCAAAACTGTGATAAAATATTCGTTTAAAGTATATCTTGTAAATGAAGCTATCAATTCCTTGTGTTTCATTCTCTCCTATTGTAAGTTCTCTGAAATGTATTGTAAATAGAGAAAAATTCAAAGAATTCAAGCTACATTTACTATTTTTGATAATAAAGAAGACAACATAGTTTTCAGTCGTCTTTTTAACGAAGCTATTCGGATTTCTTGTCCTAGTAATAGTAAGATAATATTAAGAGAAATCTTCGTCTTGAGGAATGGGCGGAGCAGAGCCCTTTCTTCTTGACGAAGATTTCTCTTAATATGATCTTACTGACTTAGAACAGAACCTCAGCCAATCAAATGAAAGGATTAAAAATAAACTCCTCCCACAGCTGTGTCATATATAATGCTCAAGTTGACCGCTCGATATACAAAACGAGCACGCAAACAATATCGAACACACACGGTGTCAGAATGGGCTCCAGCCCATTCAGGTTAGCACGGGATTAAATGAAATAGCTTCATAGACGTTGGAACCGGAGCGGGGGGGGGGGGGGGGGGGGGGGGGTTAGTCCCCCTTTTTTGCAAATATATACATTACAGTGGCATTGAAAATTGGGATTTACCTTTTTTTAGTGGTTTAGCGCCCCTTTCAATTAGCCCCCCCCCCCCCAACTTTCGATTTGCTTCTGAAGCTGATGAAAACGGAACAAGAATCGTAATTTCTATATTTTGAAAAATATTTTGTTAAGATGACAAGGCCCTAGTCAGCAGGAGTGGGCATAGTGTCTAGTGTCAAATAAAAAATATGATGAAAATTGTGACTTAAATCTTTTTTAAAGACAAGGTTTGTATCTGAAATTCAAGCCGATTTTTGTATTTTCTGTATGTAACGAAATGTGAAAAAAGTAATATTCAGAAAGGCGACAATATACATATATCACATGGCTTCGAGGGTGACATACCAGAATATTTGCCCCGAGGTGACAGGAAAGCCCTAGAGTGTTATAAAACATTTTTGAATAAATTTTCTTATTATATCACAAATGTAATAAGTTTCGCTATAAACCCTGAAAAATGCTGAATCACACCGGAAACAGTTATGTCACGCCGGAAACAGTTATGTCACCCCCGACGGAAACAGTTATGTCACGGTTTCGATCACGTTCACGTGTTTTTACGTTACGGATTTTAGTTCGGGTTCGAGATTTTATGACGTCGGTTGCTAAGCAAAAGTAAACAACACAGCGTATTTCTTAACGTCAAGAAGGCATTTTTGGATTATTTGTGTAAATTTTAACGATTTTGAATGATTTTAAATTTTCTTTCAATTTTAAAAATGTCATATAACATATACCACACGGCAACTATAATACATGTAAAAATATTACATTCATTTCTTATCATTTAATTATGATTTTAAATTTAGGCCTATAAAACGAAACATCACAACAACGTTAACGTTGTTGAAATCAAAATGGCTCTAACGAAAAAAACGTTTTCAAATAATGTTGTGTCATAACTAGCATTCTCTGAGATAAGTTCTATAACACAAAAAACTTACCTGTTGTGTTATCCCAATCGGTATTTTTTTCCCGGTAAGTTATCCAAGTTCGTTAATGTAACAAAGGGAAGATACTCAAATATCCTAACACTAACAGTTCTAGATCACAGAAATTTTGGATTTCATTTGCGCATCTTTTCATCTGAATTTCAAACCAAACATATAAATACGTATCACAACCTGTCAATGCTGTAAAACCTGAGTCTGCTGCCGACTGTTTAAGATTAAAATAATTCCGTCCACTCCTCATTCATGCAGTGTCGTTTTTCTCGATTGACGGTTTTCCCGCTTTGGTAGGATAAAAAACAATTCTTCAGAGTTCTGTTGTTCATACCAGATATCTTAAAGTCAAATATTTAACAAAAGTAAGCCGATTTCATTCCTTCTTTCCCAAAACTGTATTACAGTTGTTATGCAGACGATTAGCTGCAATAATGTAGCCCTCTCCGATTTCTTTTTTTTTTGGGGGGGGGGGGGGGGAGAGGGCTACAACTCCTTAGGATCTCCGTAATGGTGCAAATGCGGCAGTGAATCGCTCCCGCACGGATTTCGGCTCAAATCATCTGTAAACGGCTATTTTATTAACATCTCTTACCTGGACTCCAAAAAAGTAACTATGCAAGACATAAATCGATCCAAAAATATTCACAACGACCCATATATCGGTTATTTTTCGTGTATGTCAACATCACATCTTGAATTTATCCGCCATGTTTACTGACCTTGATAGATTTTATTTTGGGACAGCCAATGAGAATTTTGAATCTATAGGAGCGGATCTTTTAGGAATTCCCTGATTTTAAGCATACATATCGCTGTTTGCGTTAAAATAACATTTGAAATGGTTTTATTTATCGATATTTTTATGATGCATTTCAGCACAGTCGTTTATAAACATCGATATTTGCTTTTTTTAGTTGTTCTAAATTTTTTATCCAATCAGAATTAAGTATTTTATAGAAATTAAATGATTTCACAGTCATATTAAAATAATTCATGGAAAAATTTAAATATTATTCATGTTTTTGTACTACATATTATTTCAGTTTATTGTCCATCGGGTACCTACCAGACTGGTGATGGATGTCAGATGTGTGGACCAGGCTATTATCAAAAATTTGTTGGTCAGACAAATTGTGAACTTTGCCCTCAGGGACATATTTCACCTGTCGGAAGCAATACCATTCGGAAATGTTACGGTAAAAAAGGCGACTCATTTGCTTTTTTATCCAGTTTGTATAACAATAAAGCAATTTCAATGTTTATAGCTGACTATTTTGTTCCATGTTTGTATGTACCGATACTTGATTTGTTCTCCGATCTTTTCATTCCGTATGAAGATTATAGGACACGTATTGAAAAAATGAAAAAAAAATAATTGTGTTTGTTAATTTTTAACTCTATTAGTCAGAGACCAGAAAAACTTATACAATAGGATAAAGTCCCGCGTTCGTCCATCTATAGGCGGCTTTACACGGTAATACAAGTCGTATACAACTTGTCGCATACAGCAAAATATTACTGTGTAAAATTATATTACTACGCTATTACTTGTATCATACGACTTTTAAACAGGTCGGAGAGAATACTCGAAATCGGGTATTATCTGTGAAATCGCGTGTAATACTCGATATTAGGGTATCGTTGAATCCGCGAAATCGGGTATTCCCTGCAACTTTCTATAAAAACTAAAGAATAAAGCAACGGCGCATTATGCCAGTAGCTGTTACTTGTACATCAGTATCTTGTAGATTTATTTTCATTAAACCTAATTCATACGGTTGTCAAATAAGTTTAAAATCAAACGACAAACACTGCTGGGGTAACAAAGAGGACACAATGGCGTTATTATTTTTCAATATAATTTCTAAAAACAAATAACTACACTTCGTTTGTCTTTATTTCCCATTAAAGTATTCCATATACTTAATTTTCTAATTTGTGCACTATTCACAAAACGTGAAATTTTAAAGAAATTAAACGACTAACGCCGTGTTATGTATTTTTACTGAAAAATGTATGGCGTCCCTTTCTCGTGAAATATAAATTATTCCTAACAGTTAGAGAATACAGTATAAGCGAGTCAAAATTGTATATCTCTGCCATAATAGAATACCGACGTTATTATAAAGAAGAAAATAAGATAAGATTAAATAACTAGAAACTCTTGTTGCTACAGCAACAAAGAAGGTCTTCCGTTCTCCTCTATTTATCACATGAATGAGCTTTTATCTATGTTAAAAAAGGCATATAATATTTTAAATGATTTCAGGAAAACAAACAGCCGGAGGTGTAACTTACCAAGATTCTTTACTTTAGACAATTATAGTCTTAATAACATGTCGAAAATTATTTTCAATTTTTGTATCACTTCCTGTGACGACCGGAAGTGACGGCGGACGCATTTTACCCTATATTTGTTGCCCAATCTTCATGTTTTTTTATTCATAGAAGTTTAGTGTCTTGATATGTAACAGTTTAAGAGATCTCCTAATATTATCTTCTCATTATGAGGACAAGAAATCACGTGACCGGAAATTAATTTTTGAAAAGATATTTGAGGTAACTCTAGACACATCAGTCTGAATAACATGTCCTAAAATCATTTCAAATGCTATTTTATCAAAAATATTTATGGGATAGTATGATACTAAATTTATGCAGTTTTTCTTTCATAACCGGAAGTTGTCGATTTTGTTTCCAGTAGGACTGACATATTTCAAAACTACAAAAAAATGTTATAATGTATTACTAAGAAAGATTCCATAAGAAAAGTTTTTATTTATTTGTTCACTTCCAGTGACAACCGGAAGTGACGGTGGACAATCTTATCCTTACTGGTTTTGTCTACTCATCAAGATCTACCACTTGTAAAAGTTTGGTGTCTTAATCTCTTACCCTTTACCTTTACGAGATCTAGTAATGATAACATCTCATTTTGAGGACAGGAAATAACGCAACCGGAAGTGAATTTTACGTAGATATTTAGCGTTATTGTAGACAGTTGTAGTCTAAATAACATATCCAAAAATCATTACAAATACTTCATCTATAAAAAATATTTACAGGAAAGAAAAATACTCAAATTATGTAGTTTTTCTCTTATAACCGGAAGTTGTTGTTCTTTGTTTCCGGCGTTACTGACATATTTTAAAACTACAAATAAGATGCTATTATGTGATGCAAAACAGTTTCCATAAAGAAAAGTTGAATTTTTGGATTTTTTTTATAACTTCCTGTGACAACCGGAAGTGACTGCAGACAATCTTATCCCCCATGGATTTGCCTACTCATTAAGATATACCACTTGTAAAAGTTTGGTGTCTTAATCTCTTACCGTTTACGAGATCTAGCTATGATAACTTCTCATTTTGAGGACAGGAAATCACACGCAACCGGAAGTGAATTTTACATAGATAGTTGATGTTACTGTAGACATTTGCAGTCTGAATAACATATCCAAAAATCATATCAAATACTTCATCTATAAAAAATATTTATGGGAAAGAAAAATACTCAAATTCTGTAGTTTTTCTCTTATAACCGGAAGTTGCCGTTTTTGGTTCCGGTGGGACTGACATATTTCAACACTACAAATAAAATGCTATCATATGAGGCAAAAAAAGTTTCAAAAAAGAAAAGTTGAAATTTTCGATATTTATAAACACTTTCTGTGACAACCGGAAGTGACGACGGACGATCTTAACCCAAATGGATTTGCCTACTTATCAAGATCTATCATCCCTGTAAGTTTGGTGCCTTAATCTGTTACCGTTTCTGAGATCTCACTCGGATTAAATATTTTTGAAAAAAGCGGAAATCGGACAAATCTGACGACCGGAAGTGAATTTTGAAAAAATGAAAAAAACGTCTCGGGGTATTTTCATTCTCTATCATCCCTGAAAATTTCAGGAAAATCTGTCCAGTCATCTCTGAGAAATCCTGCCGACAAGATTTGGGGAAAAAAATAATAATAAGAATAATAATAAGAAAAAACAGTAGAATCACTATAAGGTCTTCCGTCTGAAACGGAAGACCTTAATTACACACGGGAAAACAGTTTTAAAGTAGCTAATGGAAGGTGAGTATCTTTTTTTCTGTCAATTTAGCATGAAATTTTTATTCAAAGACATCGTAAATTTTTTGGTTGCATTTTAATCGATACAAGATATGTCTATTTTACATTTATTTTATGCATTTGTGTGAAAATTGAGAGCGAGAAGTCATATGAACAGGATTTTATTTTTTTTGGGGGGGGGGGGTATAAATAAAAGTCAAATGTGTACATCTTTTCATGAGCTTATAATACATTGAATTTCTCAATATAGCTCGAGGTACAGTCATATTGAAATATGAATTACATAGTCAAGTTTTCACATTTCTTATAGTTTTTGCGTTTGTGAACATGTTAATGAACAAACTGAAATAATGGAGTGTTCAGTTGCCTTGGAAACTCTTGTCTTACTTTTTGGGAATATAATTCCTCATCGGACATTAAAATTTCATAAAAATCGTAGCCACTTCCTTTCTTTATTATACTCTTTGATAGACAGGATAAATTTTACCTCTTTACCTTCTATATTTTTTTTTATATCGCTATCTAATACCTCATTATAATATGCTAATACAACGCACTATCTGATTGGTTCTAGACGATATGTCACAGTTTTCTTCTAGTTATTTTATCTATGATGCGTATTACTCATGGCAATAACTTTTCCTAATACTCATCTATAATGAAAAAAATGTGTTTAAAAAATAAACATGAATTCTAGTTACTTGTAGAAAATAACATGTTGCTTTTTGTTTACCTACAATGAATATGATTTTTATTTGATGAATAAATCTTCCCTACGATTAAAAATATATGATCGAGTTTAACCGACCGTGACATTCAAAGAGAGGTCTCTTGGACACATGTAGAACACAGTCGAGGTTGTTTTGTCAGAGGTGGTCAAGAAGCCTTTACCCCCCCCCCCCCCTCTTTTGAAGTCGCCAAGAAATGGTAAATATTGATGACTTAGCGAAATTAGACGATCAACAGTTATGTTCTCTCATAAGCTGTATTCCTGAAACTATCACTGTCTCTGCTAAAATGTTGAAGACATATTCTGCAAATATGTATGAATGATACATAAAAAAAGAAAAGATTTTCAAAAAAGAGAAAGAGGGTCTTCTAGCCCAAATTTTAGACATTTTTATCATTACATTATTTATACACTCATAAATAAATTTGATTTTATGCACAAGATGAATGTGAAAGTAATTAATGACGCATAATTAGATACGATAGACAATCCCTTGTTTATACATGGCATCATATCTGGTGTGTGAAATGTGTTTCCGTATAATTTGATTTATTTACAAATTGTTCATGTTTGTCGTGTTGATGTGGAATTATTATAAATTCCCGAATTCTGATACTTTACAGTTCTGTTGTGTTGGGAATGAACATTAAGAAGATGCATATACTTTCAACATAAGGAAAAATATAAAGCAAATCGAACGCCTTTTTGTGTGCAGATCATGAAATGTACTGAGCTCCACGGTTATTTGTTGTCCCGAGCGCATTAATCTTGACGCCAAAATTCTTACTTGGCTAGTGATACCTTTAGAAAACATGTGTATCTAGATGAAAGTTAACTCGTCAACATGCGCCATCCCATTGTTTAAGTTTTATTAGGTGATTACACCTCCTATACCCGATTTCGCGGATTCAACGATACCCTATACGCGATTTCACGGATAATACCCGATTTCGAGTATCCTCTCCGACCTGTTAAAAGTCGTATCTGACAGTTTTTGAAATAGAGCCTTTTCCTATTCTGTACAACAAATCGTATACGACTTTCTGGATCCAACCAATGAACGGCTTGGGTTTTTAATTTATTCATACGTGACTGGTCAACGATAAAGACATGTACTAAGTAAAGAACATGTACCTGCAACATTTAGAATTGCATGTTTGGTTAATATTAATACATTAATTTATAATCATTTATAAAGTAAGATACGGTTCATGTATGACTTTGAAACTTATGAATCTGCATTTTCAATATAAGTGCACCCATTCGTAAATTTGAAAAAGAACTTTAATGAACGTTACTTAGTCTAATATTTTTCTATTGTGCTCTTGAATTAAATACACCTAAAACTTTTTTTAACTTATGAAATAAACCACGCTGTAAGAAGGTAAAACTGTCTTATTTTTATGAACAATTTGCAATTCAGACAATTTTACAAATTCTTGTCATAACAACTTGGTACGGTATGTATAATGTAGCAAAATCGGCAAAAGTTAAACGGACGATAACATTTTTTGAACTGTGTCAATTTATTGTTGAGATTTCCCTTTGTGTGAAATTGGTATTAAGTTTCCTCAGCTCACGTGCCCTTTTGTCTATTTAACGTTCAAACCGGTCTAATATTCCGGAATTCCCCTATTTTTGAACGTTTTCCTCCTCTTTAAATCTATATTTTAATATGGCCGCATCCGAGTATGTATGCCAAACTTGGCAGAAAGAACAAGTATACTTCCGTTTCTCATATTAAAGAGAAAAATGACCTTACAAAAGTGCAGCCACTTCCGTTTTTACAAAAAATTGAAGTTGAAAATGTTTCCTTTTGGGATAAACGTCACTCTTCATGACTTTTCCTCCACATTAAAATCTATACCTTTTAAAGAAATTAATTGTTTAAATCTGTATCTGAATGTAATGAAAACAAAATAAACTTTTCATGGTGAAAATTACAATGCATTGAAAACATGACGTCACAATAAGCAATCATATGTTGAACATTATATTTTTCGCCAATCTTCGATAATATTAATGTTAATGATTAAAATGATAAATTTTCAAACAATATATACAGTGAAAAACAGTAATATCAACATAAGTTGGAATAGTTCAGAGGATTAATTTACATTCAGACATGTACAACAGGAGAAATTATAATGTTACAGAGCTCAAGAAAAACTCTCTTTTTTAAACGTTTCATTGAAAATTATCATGCATCTTTATATAAGTATTTTTAGATTATATATTTATCATGCTGATCACAATACTGACACCAGTGCTTTAAGTCGGGTTTAAAATGAACATGTAATTTCAAAGGCGGATCCAGCGCCAACCCCCCCCCCCCCGTTTGATTTTTTTTCTGAAACTTTGGTTGTAATTTCTATAACAAGTGGTTACCCCCAGTTTTGTCCAGTTTAGTACATAAATGTAAATTGATAAAATAATAACATTTGAGTCCTTTATTTTTATTCTATTTTATTTATTTACAATGTATTTATTTTTTTATAGTAGCGTTTAAATGTCTCACATGAAATTCATGCGATTTTCCTTTTATTTGAAAATTATCCAAAAATCATTTAAATGTTACATAAAATATTTTATCATGTGAATATCATTTAGATTGGTTTGTACAATATTCACATTATAATATTTTTATAACTTTTATCATGACTTTTTCTTTGTCGATATTTATGTGATATGCTCTTTATATAAAGTTCGTTTTAAATTTCTGCAAAAATTTAAAAAATTGCAGTTGAGTTTTTCACATTTACAAAATTTTTCATGCCTTTTGTTTTTCGTCGCTTTCATGTGAAAGAATTCACATGAAATTCAAATGAATTTCATGTGAAACTCAAATGAATTTCATATAAAATGCGAGCCAATTTTGCTTGCGTATACCCCTCCATTTAGATAAGTTTCCGGATCCAGAATGAATTTGGGCGTTTTATTCATTTGAATGACAATAGAGTTAAAGAGAAATCTGTTTTAACCGTGTGCACAGGTGAGGACCATATTACAAAAGTTGTATACGACAAGTTGTATACGACTTGTATTATCGTGTAAAGCCACCTTATCTGTAAACAATTTCTCAAAACGCTACTACTACAGTTTTTGTCTGATTTCAATATAACTTGGCACACAAGTAAATTACACTTAGATACATAATTCTGTTTGTCGGCTTTTAATTTCGATGAACGATGTTGCCGTGGTAACTAAAAATAGAAATTTCTGAAAAAAAAAACATTCAAAATGCTACTCCTACAGTTTTGTCTGATTTCAATATAACTTGACACACAGTTAGACTACACTTAGATACATAGTTCTATGTATCCTTTTTGATTGCTTTGAATGGTGTTGACTGGTTATTAAAATAGAAATTTTTGTGAAATACTTTCAAAATGCTACTACTACTACAGTTTCATTCTGATTTCAATATAACTTAGCACGAAAGTGGACTAGACTAAGATATATAATTCCGTGTATCCGTTTGTTTTGTTTACGTTGAACGGTGTTGCCATGGTTACTTTAAACAAAAAATTCTGAGAAAACCTTTCAAAAAGCTACTCCTCCTAAAGTTTTGGTCTGATTTCAATCTTAATTGGAACACAATTAGACTACACTAAGATACATAATTCTGTATACTGGTATCCGTTTTTTTATTTTCATGAACGGTGTTGCCGTGGTTACTAAAAATAGACATTTCTGTTTAATACTTTCAAAATACGACTTCTCCTACAGTTTTGGTCTGATTTCAATATAACTTGGTACACGAGTAGACGTCACTAAGATACATAATTGTCATTTTTGGGGCTTTTTGATGAATGATGTTGCCTTGGTAACTGAAATTAAAAATTAAGTAAAAAAATTATTAAAAGCTACTTCTACAGTTGTAGTCTTATTGCAATCTTGCCAGACAGAGAGACTAAATCAAGGATCATTATTCTATTTATTGCTGTTTCAAGTCCCAACTGCTACTTTTCTCTTCCTTTGTTATAAGTACAGTGTACAAAACAGTAGAGCTAGAGTCTCGACAGAGACTTCTGGTTCTTTAATAATCAATAAAAAGGAAGCAAAAGCATCTTCGCTAGGCAAGGGTTCTCATACGCTACTCTCCCCAAGAACCCTTGGCATACGGTGAAGTCGAAAGACGGGATTGTTTTCGTCGCCATCGTCGGAACCCACGGGTTTTCTCTCCATTACACTGCATTTAACCTCGTCGGAACCCAAGGGTTTTCTCTCCGTTACACTGCATTTAACGTTAAATGCAGTGTAACGCGGAGAGAAAACCCGTGGGTTCCGACGATGTTTCGTCGCGTGATCTCGAATCTCTCAGGTATGCACACATTGTGTCATCGATATAAATAAAGACGCGTGTTTTAAAAATATTAAATCGAAGTTTTTTTCAAGAATAATTAAGAAGCAATAATTGGGATATGTTTACTAAGTATTTATTATTTATAGTACAATCGGAAACTTCAATATAGATTCTTAATCACATATTTAGAAGATATTGGATGACACCATAGCTATTCATAGAATTCCTTGTTGTCTTACGGATCTTTGTTTACTTGCGTTTTTCATTGCGTTTTTCATTTCCGAGAATCCCGTGGGGATCCGGGTTAGAATAGGTCCTCAGTACCCCCTTGCTTGTCGTAAAAGGCGACTAAATGGGGCGGTCCTTCGGATGAAACTGTATAAATCGAGACCCCGTGTCACAGAAGGTGTGGCACGATAAATATCGTGATCCTGATCAAAGCCCGTAAGTGCCGAGCAAAGGCCTAAATTTGCAGCCCTTCACCGACAATGGTGATGTCTCCATATCAGTGAAATATTCTGGAGAGGGACGTTAAACAGTATACTATCAATCAATCAATCATTTCCGAGATTAAAGAGTCAAGAAGTATCCCGAACGCAAATATCGTCATTTACAAAAAAAATTGCTGATTGGTCGACCGGGTGTACCGAATCCCAATCAAACTCGAAAAAAAAAAACCAACTTCCATCAACACCCTATGCCAAGGGATTATGAGGAGAGTAGCGTATCAGAAACCCTTGGCTAGCGAAGATGAAGTAAAAGAGGAATCGAGGACCTTACTTAACATATGGTCTTTCCACAGCTGATCTAGGATAAATACATTTGTACATATGGAACATCACAAAGATATTTTTACATAAATATTTAATATCTGTCTGTTAACAGTTCCCGATGCCAAAACCAAGGAGGAGGAAAGAGGTCTCTCAGCGGAAGCCATTGCTTCAATTGCTTCTGCAGTTATCGCATTCTTTGGTCTCGTGGTACCGACGTTGATAAAATTCCTTAGAAGAGGAAATGATAGTTATACCGTGGAAGTTAACTTAAAAGAGTGCAAAGCACATCAAGCTGATGGATCCTATTCACCACTCGAAAAAGAAAACGAAAAAACAACAGAAAAACAGTTGTAATGAAATTGTATTAGAAGAAAGGCAGAAATGCTAAAGGGGGGATGGTAAAATATATTTTTTTTTAAAATATATTTATTTACAGAAAAAACAAATAACATACATGTTCAGAAGCAAACATTTAAATATATTTAACGATACACTGACATACAGACGCACACCTACAATTACACTTGGAAGGGGATGAAATCAGAATCAGTTTTACATAAGTATACAATATAACAGCAGTATAAAACTCCTACGCTAAATCATTACTTTGAAAAAGACAATTCCAATAGTTCCACATCATATAATTTTTTCTATAACAAAATAATTGTCATTGCAGTTGGACAAAACCAATTCGTTGCATTGTAGGTTTGAAACCAATGCTTCCATCGTAACAATCATTGTCACAGGAGGCACTACCTCCTTAATAAAACGAATAATGTCAGCATATGAAATAAATAAAAGTTTTGATGTTTATAGAGTCAACACGGACATGTTGTTAAATTGCCTTAAGGCAACACAAAACTAAAGGCAAGAGCATTTCTTTTTCTTCAGGAAGTAGTAATAAAATATGTACCATATGTAAAAAATTTCACGTAGAATTAGGAAAACACTGCTAATTTAAGCAAAAGTAGAATACAACTTGACTTGAAATGTATGCAATAAAAAATCTTCTATATCATATTCTACTGTTATGAATCATTTTAAGATTTTAGTATGATTATCAACATATTCATCGTCAATTGCAATATAAGATGCCGAAGTTGACGTCAGTGGGCGGGGAGTGACTATTGACATTAACATGTTAGACCTCGTGTAATTAAACAAAATCGCGTTTTTTAAAACAGGGCTATTTTAAATGATAACTACATGTATTCATTTTTATGATTTCTTTAAAAAAGATTGACAAAGTTGAATACCCACATTCGTTTTAAATGTGGTGCTTTAAAGCATAATATTTTTGAATGAAAGAAAAAAAATATGAGAATTTGAATTCAAGTAATTTATATACAGCAGATAGGTAGACAAAAGACTACTTTAAAAAATTTCCTTGAGCTTCTGGCTAAAGCAAATTATTTGTTCTCAATAAACGTACAAACCTGAGCACATTGGAAATTCGAAATCCGCAATTGTTGTTTTGGTACCAGAAATTTGCCAAGCATTACCACTTGAAGATCCACATTCAAACTGTGTTTCTGTGTGATATAGATCGGCTCAAAATTTTCCAGGCTTACATGTGACGTTGCAAATAAGGTTTGATCACAGGATAAAATCACATCACTTTGAAGTTTGAAATTCAAACAATCTGAAAAATTGCAATTATTTTTATGAATATCCATTATAGTAAAAGAAGACAAGTCCATAGTTAAAAGGTTTTTAGTCTTATTTTCATTCATATTAACAATTAAAGATTTCGCAATATTTTCCGGTATATTGCTGACTGCAAACACCTTATATATGTCTCTTTGCACCAGGTATACATGTAGCACTATTTTTGCACAAGTTTCCATAGCACGGATCTGGTCGTATGTCACAGTTTTCGCCTTGGTACGCGTGTTTACACGTACACATTTCTGTGCCTTCGTCGCAATCCTTAGTCGTTTTACACGACATAGCTGTATATTCTATGGAAGATATAAAAACACATTATTACAATGTTATATGTATGCCACCTTTGTAGAATGTAATATTTGTTGTGAAATGCTATTGATTAGCACAAGATAAGTTTCAATTCCTCGCCACTAGGGGTATTACGCTTCGTTTCAACACCTCTGTCTTTCACTCATAAACATTTTCAATTGCCAATGAGTACATGACTAATTTTAATTTTACTTAGTCGTGTACTCATTAGCAATTGAAGATTGTCAATTAGTCAAAGACACCTCTGTCAACGTCTATATGTCAAGATTCTAACAAAAACATACTTTTACCTATTGCATCACAAAAAAGGGAATAATAAATATTTAAGTTTTGGATTTTTGCCTTTATCTTAAATTAAAGTTTATATATAAAATAAGCAACAGATTTAGATTTTTCACTATATCTTATGAGGAATTATTTCTCGGCAGAGTATTGAAAAAATGGAAAATTTATGACGAATTGCCGACAGATGTCAACATGGTTTAGATCTTATAGACAAACAACTTGCAGCATTGACACATGTATATGTAAATGTATATATATCAATGTAAATGTGTTATTCATTTTTAACAACTTTTGAAGAAGGAAAAAATCGCATGTCTTCGCTTTCCGTACTTCTTTTTAGATCTTGAAAGAGGTACTGGTTGTACGATAACTCGAGGTAGAGATTGGATTAGCTGACCAAGTGGAATTATGAGTACGATTTAAATACAATTTATATAGGCGTGAAAAGAATCGCTTTGTCATTATCTTGACTTTTCTGCAACCTTTCATAAACTAGAATAAAAAGAAGACGCGTTTGAATTCAAGGAATACTCCTCTTGGGGTAGGGAAAGACCACAATGGGGTATCAGTTTTTTTAAAAAGTAATATATAAGAAAAATTGGAAATATCTTTTTCTCAAGAACAGCAAAGTTATACGCTATAATTATTTTGATATGGAGACATCAACCAGTAGTATAAAATTCAAGCCCCCCTCCACCGGTAAACTTTTCAATACTGAACTGATTTGTGCTTTTACTCAGCCGATTTGCTGAAGTGAGCGATATGGCTTATTGAGCTATTGTTTTATATACATATCAAGTTGAGAAAAAAATCTGATTGAATTATTGCGTTTGTTCATCTGGTTTATATATATATATATGTTTTTTATTGCATTGTTGTAGCAGTGATTTGTTTCAGAGAAAACTTACCTCTATTCTTTGTGAATGTGGGCGAACCTGGCAAAAGACCTTCAAACGAAGTTAAATCCTTAAGTGAGATCAGCTCGCACCCGTTTGAAATTATTTTGAAACCACAAAGCTGGAGACCTAAATGATCAAAACATCATAAACACAAAAATGCTCTCAAGAAGCCTTGCATGCGCCATGATCACTCTACAGACGGAATTGATAATAAATATTTTCTTGTTTTTAATGAAACAAATCAAATCAACTTCCTTTCTAAATATTTGCTGTACTTTTCCATAAATATTTGTAGTTTATCGATACACAGATGTTTAAACTAATAAGATGCCCTAAAATTTAATATCAACGTGATCGTATCGAGCGAAAAAAAAACTCTTGAAATGTGCACATGTCATATACAACAACGTTTCAAAATCCCTTTGAATAGGTTCTATAGACTATAATAACACTAAGAAGGAACACACTTTCATAAATTAATTGCTACTGGGTTATTGTTTCTACATACGATTTTAATTTTAACCGTGTACATTTATAAATTGTTGATACAAGATCGTTTTGCCGTACGCAGGCATACATATGAAGTACTGTACTTATGCGTGATTTTACTAATGAATTATTTTGTAAGAATCTTTAAAAATATATATTTACTAAGAGAGAGAGAGAGAGAGAGATACCTTTATTCCCTGGAGGAAAGACAGACCGGAAATTTTTTCCGAAAACAGGATTCATTTGTTCAGTCTCATTTGTATGTTTTTCAAAGTGGTGTATTCTTTTATTGATGTTTATTTCTCCGTTGATGATCCAAGATCCATTCTGATACTCATACTCAAATGTTAATGAAAAAAGATTCCAAGACTTCAAATTAACCATATCGTCGGCTACCTTGAGGGCATGACTATAATGAGGTAAAATAATTTATTCTACTCTATCCCAAAGAAAAATCATATTTAGGGATCGACTTAAAACAAAATATTATAGTTTTTTCCCCTTCTAACATAAGATTTTTGAGTATGTACGTAATGCCAATATGCGTAAAAATATCCTTTTAACTAATTCTAAATAGAAACATTGATGTTTACCTTTCATACGTCAGAACCAAATTGTGTTGTGTTGTTTCCTCATCATCGCTTTTCTCAATATAAACACGAAATACTTTTCCTTTGTCAAGATAATTGATGTAAAAAATCTCTACCTCCTTTACTTCTGCTAACCGCAAGCTAAACTCTAATGTTATTTTGGTTTGTTCCCCATTTGACTGAGGAAAGTAAACTGAACTTCCCTCATAAAGAAACTTTAAATCAAATCTTTATAGAATAGAAATGTGCACAATGAATTATATGAACAACAGAACAGGAAAATACTTCCGCGACTAAGTTATTGCAAAAAAAGAGTAGTATTTTAGAATGTAATTTTGACATTGATTTATTTGTAAGGATTTTGCCTAATTGAACAATCTATCCATGAAATAAAAATCATTCGTCCGTGCAAAAATATACAATTCGCATCTATTTCCATATTGTATATCGTTATTTTATGAAGAAACTGACTGTATATCTAATGTATCCTTAACAGTTTTAGTGTTCAAAGTACTCAAGAAAAATTAAATTGATGTGTTTATAAAGAAATGGACATACTAGTACAGAATTCATTTTCTTTCTTGAAATGGGACGAAGAACACTGGGTCATGATGTTCTCACGTAAGTTACAGTTCAAATTACAATAACTTCCACTAAACAGATCAACGCATTCCATCAATTCTGTTTTGCAGCTTTCCTCAGAAACTATTGATTGGCGCGATTTATCTACAGAATAAAAAAAACTGCATAAATGAGCATATATCAAGTAAAAAAAAATGAATTAATCATTTTCTGAGTTCAAATTCAAGCCTTTGTGTGTTCCAATCTTTGAAAATGAACTATTATTTTTCAGTGACATAAGTCTACAGAATTATATATTGAACAAAGATGTCCAAATTTAGTACCTATGACTGTAACATTAAATTGGCATATTTCGATATTCCCAGCTCCGTCACTTATTTCAAAAACATTAACAGATTTTCCGACACCCAGTGCACTTCCAGACGGTAATCCTCTGGTCTGTTTATATATTATTTGCGTTCCCCCATTATCTGTCGCAGAAAGAGCTTCCCATTGCACACGAGCTGTTGAAGTATCTGTGATCGCTATTATC